GAAAACAAAATCGGCATAATCACCAATCCACTGGATGGATAATCTCAGAGGTGCCAGATGCTTTTTAATTATTCATTTTATGTTGTTGTTTTTAGGCTCTGTACATCGGGTCTTCTAACTTTATATATCATACACCATGGAAATCATTATTCACTTAATCAGCAAATGTATTATCCATTTTGGATAAATCATTAAAAGTAGAAATACAGAAAGCTCCCTGTTCTGTAGAATAGAAACTCTTATCATTTGTGATGGCAGTACGAGTGATAGCTGTGATGGCACATTGATTATAATGCAGTATTGTAGGCGAACTCTACCCACAGCCAGGAGTTTGATCCTAAATAGCTTGAGGTTGACTCAGCTTCCATCCTTCCAAGGTCTGTAAAATGGACCCAAATGGTTGGGGACAACATGCTGACATTGTAAACCACTTAGAGAGTGCTGTAAAGTGCTATGGAGTGATACATATGTCTAAGTGCTATTGCTATATTATATACATCCTCTTGCTTTAGGAAAGAGTAAATAGCCTTTAAGAAAAGGTTTATATTCACCAACAAAACACATGGTTTCATATAGAAGGTATAATAATCAAAATGTGATAGTAGGAAAGTCTCGCCTATAAAACCAGAGGATTACCACCAGTGGTGTAGCTGACCCTTGTTAGCTAAGTTGAACCGGAATAAAATATCATCATAAGCTGTACATAAGCTGTACAGAAAGGTAGGCTGGTTGAATTAATAACATTTTGGATAACACAATCAGATAATAAAGGAGTTTATAAGAGTGGTTAATTCACTGTGGTATAATGTCTGCATGGGTGTGGTTATAAGATATGTTGATTTATAAGATGGCTTAGTAGGAAATTTGTAGTGTTGTTTCCTGATTGGTTCCTTTTCCAAGAAGTGGGAACAATGTGTCTTTGAAACTATTAGTCTTAGAAGTTTGTTTTATTTTACTAATGAACAAAAGAGAGGTAGAAATACAACTGCAAGAAGGAATTGACGCAACCTCATCGTGGATAAACATAACAATTAAAAAATGGAAAAACGGTCTGGAAATTATGTTACAAAAGTAAGAAAAGGTCTGGAAATTACATTTCATAAACAGGCAATTCCAAAACCTTTGAGCAAACTTGTCTCTTTGCCTCTTTGCTGGAAAAAGATTAATTCAACATGGCTCTTTTAATCCAGTACTGCATTTCAGGTGTAGACTGCTCCTTCCAGGTAATATAGCCCATACCCTTACTTATATCTTAAGAACTACCAAACACTGGTTATTATAACCAAGAAGAACTTACACGCTTTAACATATAGCAAGCATCACAGACTTATATTAAGAATTTAGTTGATAGTGTGACATTCAGCAAAAATAGGTCCTAACAAAACTATGAGAGTTGATGTTGCAACTCCTGAGTTACATCATTCCAACAAAAGGAAAATTATAAGCAACTCTTATCAAGTTTAACACTAATCAAGTGTACCTTCTGAAGGCATGCCAGTCCTTAGACTTTAGGACCAGCCCATTTCAGAGTAAAAAATCAGAGCTTTAACTTTTAACTAAAAACTGACCTTTAACTTTGTTACCAAGTAACTCATTTTCGTAGAATTGAACCCAAAGGATGGCAGTCCAATGGCATACAGTCAGTCCAATGGCATACAGGATGGCATACAGTCCAATTAAAAAATTAACAAGAATATTAAATGTAGCTTCACATAATTTCAGTTGTATCTTTCATATCCTTTGAACCTGACGGAGAGATAATTAAGAGCACTGTTCAAAGTTTGACAAATACTGGATCTAATAGGATGTCCTCCCAAGAATGATACATTTCAACGCTCTGTTTAATAATGGTCACAGGAGTTAATGTGCTCTTTCCTTTCTCAAATAATATAATTGGAGACCTAAACAGATTGCTTGAAGTTCACTGAATTGATTCTTGATCTGTCTTTTATCCGTTCTTGTTATATAATTTGAAGATTTAAGTAGAGCATTTATTTGTGTGTCTCTTTACACACACACACACACACACACACACACACACACACACACACACACACACACACTTTTGTAGCAAAGCAAGTTAAAAGTGGGCTTAGTTGTATGTGAAAAGTTATAGTGACCGGCTTATAGAAATGTTCTATACTTTTGGACATTTTTATTAATGACTTGAATGAAAAGTGGAAGAAATGGTTAGCCAGTGTTTAGAGGCTACTGTGATAGTTTACAATTTTATGAAAATAAAATTGAAAACAAGAGAGTTGTGTCAAGTTTTTTTTTAAATAAAGTTTTATTGAGTGTTAACAAAACAAATAAAACATCTTATTTGAGTACAGCATGGTTCCTGGTTATCACATTTCCATACGACACAATTTCATATGCATATTCATCTTATTCAACTTCATATCATATTACTCGTTTTTCAACTTCTCACTATTTCTCCCTTTACTTCTCTTAATTTTCTTTTATGATTATCTCATTTTATAAATACATAACAATACAGTTTTATCTCATAGATTATTTACTTATTTCATTTCTAACTCATTACAGTATTCTACTGTCACAACACTATCTTTTGTACCTTTGCAGAATCCTCACTTTTAACTTAATTTAGCCATTGTCTCTGTGTTTTCCAGCTGAGCAAATACCTTTAATCCTAGTACGTTTCCCCTTTTTCTTTATTTCCTGCTTTTGTCCCTCATGAGTTCTTTCCCTTTCTATCTTCCCCCCTTTTTCTCATGCCTTTTTTCATACCCTTCTCTCTCTAATTTTCCCTTCTGTGGTTTTCTTTTCTGCTCCTCCTTGCTGTTATACTTCCTTTTCAGACTATTTTTCTTTTTGGCTGTTCCCTTTATTCTCAAACTTTTAACTCCTTTCCCCCTTTTCCCCCTTATTACCACACTTTGCATTATTTGATCATTGAAAATGGCTTCTTCTTTGTCCCGCCCTTCTTGCTCTTGAAGCTTTTCCTTTTGCTTTTCATAGTTCAGGATCTCCATTTCAAGAAATTCAAATACGAAGCCAAAGGATCTTCCTCCCCTTTCTGCATCTTCTTTCTGTTTTTTAAGACTCATCTTCAATTCCCCAGGAATAATGCCATTTTAAACACTTTTGAATAACCACCCGATTGACTTTAAGTAAAAACAGAAGAAGAAAGAAAAGACCAATGCCAAAGACTTTTTTTTTATATCACCAAATGATCCTAGACTTTTCCTTCTTGTTTCTTTCCTTTACGTTTCCTTTCCGTGGGTTACTGTATCTTTTAATAAGGTTTCAGTTACAATGTATCCTCAGGAATCTTTTCAAAGTTTCAATGTTAATCCTCTTTATTTTTCCAGGTGGCACTCCATTTTTCCATTATTCCAAGTTCCACCCTTTTGCCTCCACTCTTTTCCTTTTTAGGGATTTAAAATGACCAAGGAAAAAATCTTTCTTTTCCTTTTCTTAGCCGTGGTTCTATGAATCCTAGGTAAGAAACTGCAAACAGATAGGTTTGTATTCTTTTTTTTTTATTGTTCCTAGTACAGTAACCGGCAAGCACAGTTAAACTGAACAAGGTTAGCACTGAAATCAATCATCTTTCAGTGTAATTTATCCCTTCACTCCACCCACCTAATCGCTGTCTGTCTCCGCCCTGCACTCGTGTCCCAAGTACCCTACTAACACTATAATTCTATGGTCTACATCACATACTAACTAAGCCACGATTCCCAACTACCCCTTACTCCTCCCGTTCCTGCAGTTGCTCTCTCTTTATTTATTTACCCACCCTGCCAAAAGCTGTCTTTATGAATTTATTAGTATGATGTTCCTCTTCATTAATGCTGCATCGCTGATTGTGGGTATGTAATGAAGTGTTTGTATTCCCCCCTCATCAATCTAAACTGGTCAGCGTGCAGACGTCATCTAGTAGGAATGTTTGTTTTTGTTTCATCTCCTTCAAGCCTTTAATCTTCCAATGCTGTCGAGAGAGTTGTTTTACGAAGCCCGACACCTTTTGACAATTAAATTTCAGCTTAAAGTTACCTATTAGTGTCAAAGTAAATTAATATAGATTTCTTTCCATATCATTTGTAATTGTCAATATAAAGGTTTTTAAAAAGGGGGTTTTAACCTCCTTTTCTCTCTCCTTCGCCGCTTAAAAGTCTTCTTTCAGAAGTATCCCTCTAAGTACTTTTAGATTCAGGGTACCTTGCTTAGATGTTCTCTGTTGTTTAGCCCAGTTGGTCCTGCTTTCCTCTTTGTCTTCCTCCTGCACAATCTTATCCAGCCGGGTTCTTCTTTGAGGTGGCCATTTCTGACCACCGCTGCAACTGCCTTCGGGAAGGGGAGTTTAGGCCAGACAAGGAGGAGAGATGCGGCTTCCCTCCACTTGGCTAGCAATCTCCCCCCTCTTCACCACCTTTAGGGGATGGCTTCAGCCCCGAATCCAAAGGATCAGGGCACTCCAGCGGCGAGCACAGATCGAAACCGTGCACGATCCCGGATTTCGGTCTGTCGCTGAAGAAACCCAAACTGGAAGAGAGAGTTGTGTCAAGTTTTAAGATAAATAAATTTAGTAGTGGGAAGGGCAATGATTTGGAGCAATAGTTGAAGGCAAACTGAATATAAGAAGGTTGCTACAGAAAAGGCTAATGAAAACTGAGGCTTAATAAATACATCATGGGAATAATATTTCTACTACATTCCGCATGAAGTTTTTAACAAAAGAATTCCATCAATCAAATTTTGTTGTAGAGGTTTTAATTGAAAAGGGACTTGGATCTGACAGCCTAAATACCCATTTGCAACGTGTTGCTTCCATGTTATATTAAAACAGTAAGAGAAAATTTATAAAATATTTAATAATAAATATACCCTCTCTGCTCAATGTTTCTTTATTTGTTTGTTGTTAAAAAAAATGAATGATGTTATATGATTATTCTTTACATAGTTAATATTATGCTTTAATATTATCATTTTTCTTCCCATCCTTTTTCTCTTTCCGGAAACAAAAATCACAGCAAACTATGGGCCAAATCCAATTTGCAAGGGTTGTTTGTCTTGCTCAAAAGACAATGGATGCATCAGATGTCAACATAAGTTGTTCTTCTTTCTACGAAGAGAGGGAATGAGACAATATGGGGAATGCTTGAATTCCTGCCCATTGGGATATTATGGTCTTCGAGCCCCAGACATGAACAGATGTTCAAGTAAGTTTTCGCTGCTTAATGTTTTGAAGTCTAAAATTCACTCACTTATGACTTCATTCTGAAAATGATTGCGTATGTAAAACTGAAATTCATAAATTATTACAAGAGTAAAGTGCATCTAATTCAAATGCAAAGAAAATGTCCATAGGATTTCAGCCAAATACCCCACAAGTGTTTGGCATTTCTCTAACTATATATTTTTAAATATCTTGCTGTAACTATTAATACTTGAAAGTTTGCTGGATTGTGTCAGGTAAATATCCATGAAATCTCTCTGATTTTAATCTCTCTGGATTCAATTTAGACTTAATATAGGAATTTAAGACAATTTTATATTTGTGAAAATGCAGGACGATACCTACAGTATATGCCAAAGGAAGCTTAGGGGATATTTAATATATGTTGTTTTTTTCACTCTCTACTAATTACAGAATGTTTCATTTTTTAAAAATAAAATATTCTTCTTAAAGTTGTGTTACTATTTGTCTCTGTTGCTAAAATTCTTAGTTGCATTTTTTCTCCTTTTCCTTACATTATTTTTTTTGTTTGCTTTTTAATCAGTTTCTTTCTTCCTTCAAACTTCTGTTGGGGCTTGGAACCTATCAAGGAAGGAAAAAAGTCAACAAAGCTTATCCCAATTCTGCTTTAATTAAAGTTATAAAATCATCTTGTATTTCTTCTGTTGTATGACTTTAGACATTGTAACATAGAACAATATTTCTAATATTTATATTTATTAGAATTTGAGTCTAATTAAAGGATTTCCCTGGGTTTTTATTTAGTTGTTTGATACATGAGGTTGAATCAGTGAGGTGGAATGGAAAACTTTCCACTGTTTAATTTTGAACAGGTCAAATATTTAAATTTTGAAATTGTTCACCAGAAATGATGAGGGGCTTTTTTGGTTTGTTTAATGATTATAGAAGACTGAATTTTTATCAGTGTATTTGCTTAAAGAATATAGCAGGGGTGTCAAACTCGATTTCATTGAGAGCTGCATTAGGGTTGTGTTTGACCTTGGGGGCCTGGGATGGGTGTGGCCAGGATGGGCGTGGCCAGCTTGACATCAATCCTGTTGGGGGCACCATTTTTTATCTATCATCTACCTACCTACCTACCTGTCCATCTGTCTCCTATCACCTATCTATTGTATATTGTCTATTGTCTACCTCTATCATATATCATTGATAATTGTGTATGTGCAACTGCATAGTATTTAGAATGAGAGTGTCAAACTCATGGAGGGGGCATGGCCCACAGGCCTTGAGTTTGACAGCCCTGATTTAGAGTATCGAGGCATCTGGGAAGGAACCCCAAGCCATACTTCACCTCCATAGAAGGTTTAGCTGACAAATCGCTTTCCAAGCTCAATTCCTGGAGACTTAAATGGGCATATCCATTTAGTTCTGCATATATTGAAATAGTTTGTTATTGCATTCTGGGATAACTTCTGACTTTCCAATCTACTGTATAATCATGATTTTCCAAATATCTCCATCATAGTATTAATCAGTTTAACTTTCTAACTGAGGGTGGCAAGATGCTGCCTAGATGATCTTAAGGCTCAATCACTGGTACTTGGCTCAGCTGTATTGCTTTTTGTTTAAAATTTCTTCCCAACTGGAACAATTTATTTATAATTCATGCCAGAAGCTGAAAAGTTAAACCCTTCTTCCTCTCCACATTTAATATACCCCTGCAGCAGTGGTGGTATTCTACCGGTTCAGCCCGGTTTGGGCAAACTGGTAGTAAAAAAATGCTACCGTTCGGCTGAACCGGTATTTTCTTTTTTTCTTTTTTTCTTTCCTTTTTCCTCCCAATGATCAGCTGTTCCAATGATCAGCTGTGCTGGGATTCCTCTCGCTGTCTTACTGCTTCACCCAGGAGGCTTCCTTGAGGCCCAGGAGACAAAAAGGGAGGGCGCGTGGGGGGGGGTGTGCATGCTCTGTTTTTTGCCTCCTGGGCTTCAGGGAAGCCTTCTGGAAGCAAAAACCGGCTCCCAGGAGGCTTTCCTGAGGCCCAGGAGGCAAAAAAAGGAGTGGGAGGGGGTGCTGCAAAAAAGAAGAAGCCATGCCCACCCAGTCACATGACCATGCCCACCTAGCCATGCCCACTTAGCCAGTGGTAAAAATATTTGCCACTGAACCAGTGGTAAAAATATTTGCCATGCAGGTGCTATTACATACAATACTATTAGGTCATTCATTCTTTCTCACCTGGATCTACCTGACGAGTTTTTTCCTATGAAAAAAATGGATGTGCCAGGGCTATATACATCATCTTTAGATTAGAAAGTGTTCTTTTTTTCCTTGAATAAATAATAGGGTCATGGCAATTGGTCAAAGAACATATCTAGTTTGAGTGTAAATCTCCTTTGTTTACATTCTGCAATAATCAGTGTCCCTGATCATATACAATTGCTCACATCTTCTCTAAAAGTGGAGAGTTCTGTATTTAAACTAATTAATGATTCCTAGATATAGGTATGCTTATATACATTATTTGAATGTACATGCAAAGTACAACATTAGAGACTGTTGTTTTTTTAAATCAATCTATTACTGGCAACAGCAACTTTAAGAATTGGCTATTTACTTCTGGCATGAGCTAAATTAAAAAGCATTTGTTCTGGCTTATATTATTACCGATAGTTGAAACCAGCCGGAATATCTGGATAATTATTTTTTACATCATTTCCATTGTCCATGCTTTCTACATGGAATCTAATGAATACAATAAAGCATTTTCCATTGCATTAAAATTGTAGCTTATGAAAGCCTTTCCCAGGCATGAGCTTTTATTTTTAAATACAAATTTAAAAGGATATAACAAAACTGAGAAATGCCACATTATAGTGCAATATGACCATAAATTAATTTCAAGAAAGTTAAAGTCTAAGAGTTTAAGTTTGCTAACTCCTGGGTAAATTGGGCAGATTGTCAAATTGTAGTGACAAATATGTAGTTGTACGAATATCTTGGTTCGAACATTACCCATAAATATGGTATCATAATGTCAAATGTTTGGATTATTTTGAATGAAATTCCTTAAACGCTGAAACAAGTCTTATGAAAGTTATCCATTTGAATAAATGTGTTCTGCAGTCCTACCTCTGTCTACATGGAAATATGTCCCATTAAACTTAAAAGGATGAGACCTTTGTTACCATTACATACGATTGCACTAACAAATTATGGTCAAGTTTTTATGCAATAGCCTCCTATCAATAAATCATGTTTATTCACAAACCAAATAATTATGTCTATGCCTGTATGCTCTTTGTTCAGTCTTCCTTCCATAACTGTCTGAAATCTTCACTGATGACATTAGTTTATGGAAAAATTGGAAAACCTCATTTTAAACCCTATTTCCTAATCAGCATGCAAAATCAATTTTGATAACATTCATCTACACATTTACTGATATTCTTTTGCATATACACAACTTATTAGTGTCCATATGTACAAATTAATAAGGAAGAAAAAAGAACACACACACACACACACACACACACACACACAAACTGTAAGAAGGAAAGACATGGATAATGGATGGATTATGTGCCTACTTCTTGAAAAAGCTTGTCGCTACTCTAGCTGAATGTCTATGCACAAATTATGAGATATCTTTCAGAATGAGCTCCTTGCCCAATTTATGGTCATTAGCCACAGTCATACCTATTTTTAAAAATGGAGAACCTAGTCTAGTAGAAAATTACAGACCAATCTCTTTATGCTGCATCACCTATAAAGTAATGGAATCAATTATTAATGAATCCATCACCCTTGTTAGGTATAACATTGATACCAAATATGGTTTGGGTGAATAAATATATAAAACTTAGATATCATGGTTTAAGTGCTTATCACTTTAAGCACAATGCTGCAGGCAATTAGCCGATTAAGGGTGCGGTTAGAAGTTACAATATAAGGAAGCATTAGAAGCTGGAAAGCTTACTGCGACTAACTGTGTCTTACTGCGACTAATTGTGAGTGCCTGTGACTGAACTGTTCTTGTTTGCTACTGTTTGCTGATTTACTGCGTAATTCTACTGTTCTACTGTTTGAGCGTCTTGCTGAATATCCAGCGTTTGTTCCTCTGGAGAGAGGCACCGGAGGAGGAGAAGATATCTTTATCGGCTGATAAAGATATTGCAAGGACTCTTAACTTGGACTGTAATAGTGAGTCTTACTGGATGGAAATACTGTGAATGACTTAATGGACTGAATGACAATGCTTTAAACTCTAAATGGATTAAAAACTATTTAAACTACAAACAGTGTTTGTGTTCAGTGTGTGTATACTCTGGGGCCCTTCCACTCTCGTTTGGCTGTCTGGTTTGACTACTGCTGCAATACTCTGCTAGGGGTTAATCCCCAAAACACTAACAACCCTCCACTTAGAAACAGCCTGATTTCTAACAAGCAGTTTGGTTTCAGGAAAAAGTTGTCCTGTAATCTGCAACTATTACACTGCAGAAACATTTGGACCAAACATCTTGACCAGGGTAAAGCAATAGATGCAATCTACATAGACTTCTGCAAAGCCTTTGATTCAGTAGTGCATGACAAACTACTGTTGAAACTAAGTTCTTATGGCATTTCCGGATTCCTGCACAAGTGGACAGCTGCATTCCTGTCAAACGGGCAACAAAGGGAGGGCCCTATGAAATCCAGCACCAGTTCACAGTGGTGTCCCCCAAGGCAGCGTTTTAAGATCCACACTCTTTCTGCTTTACATCAATGTCCTACGCGATCATATTAAAAGCAGCTGCATCCTCTTTGCTGATGACGTAAAATTATTTAACACCACTGACAATGCTGCTGCCCTGCAAAGAAACCTTGACTATGTGTCAGTATGGTCACGTAATTGGCAACTCCAAATTTTAACTAATAAATTTCTGTCCTACACATTGGCAATAAAAACCAGAATACCAAATACAAGTTGGGCGGAAATGATCTCGTAGGCAACCCTCACTCTTTCAAGGACCTAGGAGTACTCATCTCAAATGATCTAAGCCCCAGAGCTCACTATAACAGCATTGCCAAAAAGGCTTTAAGAGTTGTTAACCTTATTTTATGAAACTTCTTCTCCGGTAACATTGAATTGCAAACTAGGGCATACAGAACCTTTGCCAGACCAATTCTTGAAGACAGCTCGTCTGCCTGGAACCCACACTGTATATTGGACATTAACACGATTGAGCTGGTTCAGAGGTATTTCTCGAGAAGAGTACTCTACTCCTCTACTCACAATAGTATTCCCTATGCCTCCAGGCTTGAAATTTTGGGCTTGGACAATCTGGAACTGCACCGCCTGCGGTCCGATCTAAGCATAGTTCACAAAATTGTTTGCTATAACATCTTGCCCGTCAATGACTTCTTCAGCTTCAATCACAATAATATATGGGCAAACAACAAATACAAACTCAAGGTAAACCATTCCAAACTCGATTGCAGAAAATATGACTTCAGCAACAGAGTGGTCAACATCTGGAACACCCTACCCGACTTCATTGTTACAGCCTCAACCCCTCACAGCTTCAACCTCAAACTTTCTACCGTGGACCTCACTCCATTCTTAAAAGGTCCTTAAAGGGGCGTGCATAAGTGTCTGTACTGTCCCTGTCTTACTGTCCCCATTTATCTATATTTACTTTCTTTGTTCATGTTTACGTTCATACAGTACCTATACTTGTTATCTTGTACATGTTTGACAAACAAACAAACAAATAAAATAAATGTAAGAAGGAAAGAAAAAGTAAAAGAAAAACTATCAAAACCTTACATTCATTTTTTTCCTGTTTTATGCATACAAATCTCCACAAGAGGTTTCCAGTTAGCAATAAATATAGATACTATTTTTCCTCTAATCAGACAAGCCCGCTTGGTCATCCCAGAAAGTTCTATCATTTTCACCAAACATTTATCCATTGTAGTTATTGCCAATTTTTTCCATCTTTGCGCATGTAATAATCTCACTGCTGTATTTATATACAAAAACAAATTTCCATGGCTTTTTCCCAACTGTTGTCCATCAGCCTCAAGAGGAAGTCTTTGGTTTCAATTACATATTAATCTTTAAAATCTTCTAAATCAATGTTTGTATTTGCATCCAAAGTTGTTTAGCTCCACAAATCATGATGAAATGACTCTTTTTGTTTACATTTCTAATATCAGTTTGAAGTGCCTTTATACATTCTAGACAATTTCTGTGGTGCTATATATCAATGGTACAACATTTGATAAACGTTTTCTTTAAGATGATAACAGTTCAAATTTAAATCCTTTCAGCCACATGTTTTCCCCTTGTTCAATCTCGATGTTTGTAACCACAGTTTTTAGCCCACTTTATAAAACATTCCTTCACTTGTTCTTCTGTTTCATTTTTCAGTAAACGTTTATACATTTCAGCAATCACATGTTCATCATTTGTACACAATTCTACTTCAAATTTAGTTTTACCACGTTCAGTACCATAAACTCTTTTGTTTATTTTAATTCTTTCTGGTAACTGTAAATAAGAAAACCATTGGTAACTATATCCTTCTGCCACCAATTGTTCTCTTGATTTTATTTTGTATTCCTCTTGGCAAAATTCTAGTATAATGTGATATTTTTAGTTATTTGTGTTTGTGTATTATTTCTTGTCTATAAATTGCCCCTTGTGATGAGGGCAATAAATCTACGTTGTTGCTCAGGGATAAATTTTTGCAAACTATTTTCAACCTATCAGATAAAATGGTTGTAATCCTCAGTAAATTTTGTTTCTTTAAATATTCATTTTATTTCTTCAGAGAAATATCTTGTCCTTTAGACAAATTGGAATAATATTTCTGAAATGCTTTTTTGCATAGCCACATTATCCATTAGCACACCATCTCTCTATTGTACTTTCAATAACATCTCCTTTTTGTATTTTATATGCTTGCCACTTCTTTGGCTCGTGTACAAACTCAGTTTTCTTTTGCGTTACAGAATACATTTTTATTTCCATTTCTCTTACTGTTAACAGCCATCATTGTATAACCTTAATTTGCTGAGAAATACTTACAGTATGTTACCTGAAAATTCCTTTAATTCTTTTTTAAATTTTATCTCATCTGAAAAAAGTTTGTTTTTTTCTCTTGCATCTTCTTTTGGGAATTTGCTATTGTGTGTATTACTAACTTCTGCAAAAACTTTGCTTACATTCCAAACCCTTTTCAAACAGCAACTTTATCTAAATTATTTTCAAATAATTATCTTGATTTCTTGTTGCAGTCTTCCATTTTTGCTTTTTTTCCTGTAACGTTTCATTAATCTCCATCTAAAAGAACTAGATTTTCTTTTATAAACCAAACTCATGGGATTATGAACCCCAAATGTGTTGATAATTATGTTTTATTTCCCCTTAATAGCCAAATTCTTTGAAATCCAAATCATATCTATTCTTAAAAAGGATGTCCCAAAGGTGCTTTTTTCAAAGAGACAATTGGACTTCCTTGTTTTTCTTTGAAGAAGCTTTGCTTCTTATCCAAGAAGCTTCTTCAGCTCTGACTGGATGGTGGGGAATGGAAGGATTATTCTCCTTGCAGAAAGCTGGTAATCTGCATTCTTTTAGCGAGTCATTAAGGCCCCCTGGACTGTATCCTCAGGGTCACCTAAGTAGTGCAAATGGGTATGGAGCCTTTTTGGAACTGTTGAAAGGACTGTGTTGTAGACTGAAGATAGACGATGTCGATGTCGTATTCCTCCCCCTCTGTTGAGAGAGGGCTTTTCAATTTTGACAAAGATGGCCTCTTTGAACCCTCTTTCAAACCAGAGGTCCTTTCTGTCCAACCAACAGAAAGAGGTACTCTTTTATCTTATATAATATTTCAATTTGAATTTCTTTAAGCACCATCACACATGGATCTTCAGTCTTGCTGCAAAACCCAACCTCTTGTCTTTTTTTTTTGTCAAAGTTTATCAGGTTGGAACACTTCTCTTCCTCCTCCTCCTCCTCCTCCTCCTCCTCCTCCTCCTCCTCCTCCTTCTCCTCCTCCTCCTCCTCCTCCTCCTCCACCCCCTCCTCCTCCTCCTCCTCCTCCCTCTAGCAAATCCTGTATTTAGTCTACAAATTTTATCAGTTTTTGCCTCCGTATTCTCTTCATCCCATTCAACAAAATGGAATTTAAAAATTTAAAATATTTTTACCTCAACAGACTAAGGCAAAAGTACATAATTTGTACAATGGACATTATAGACAACCCTTTCTGATTTACATTGAGCCTGTTTCTACAAAATTTTGGCAATATGCTTCACTTTAAAAGTAAAGTTAAAATGGGATATAGCAACATGGAGCAATAAATCTTTCTCAAATTACAAAAGTTAAAACAACAAAACAGGTTAGGAAACAACAACTTACTGTAAAGGTAAAGGTTTCCCTCGCACATAGCTCTAGGGGACGGTGCTCGTCTCCTACAAGGCCGAAGAGCCAGTGCTGTTCGAAGACACCTCCGTGGTCATGTGGCCAGCATGACTAAATGCCAAAGGTATACGGAACACTGTTAACTCCACCAAAATGGTCCCTATTTTTACATGCTTTCGAACTGTTAGATTGGCAGAAGCTGGGACAAGTAACGGGAGCTCACTCCATTATGTGATGCTAGGGATTCAGACTGCCGAACTGCCGACCTTTCTGATCGACAAGCTCAGCATTTTAGCCACTGAGCCACCGCATCCCTTACAATTTACTGTGTATTCACCTATATTTAAGAGCTAGTTGCCTGATCCATATTGTGACAACTGCATGCAGGAAAGGGTTAACTCTTCTTCCCAACCCCTTTGTTTATAAATGCCTACATATATTCTGCATATGGATGATTTAAAAAGATCTATTGATGTTAATGGGTTTTAAAAAAACCAACCATGCATCCATGCGAGGTGTGCATGAAATGTTTATAGAAGGCTATCTATGAGAAAGGGAATAAGATATTTGTTCCACACATATGATCTGAAATGTGTGAACCATCTGTGCATTTATTCTAGGGTAAAATAAATCTGGAGGAGCTGCCACACTTATTTAAAAGTCATGTAACCTCTTATGAGTTGGGCAAACTTCAGTGTTATTCAAGTCATTTGGAAATGGGAAATCTGGCTGAAGCATTCAATCCATCAGTCTTCTCCAATCGGATGTTCTAGCTCTGTATTTCTCAGTATTTCTTGGCAACTTTAAGAAGCATGGACTTCAACTTCAGATTTCCACAGCTAGCAGCTTCCAGAATTCTCTAGCATACTTACTAGGGAATTCTGAGAGTTGAAGGCCATTCATCTTAAAGTTGCCAAGTTTGATAAAACACTGTCCTATATGTTTGGGGATTCTTAAATCCCAGAATTCCCTTTGGCCTGGCTTGAAGTTGAAGATCCTGAGAATTGTCCTATGATTATAATTTGAGGGACTACAACTGAGTATTCGCATCTTGCTCCCTTCTGGCATTATATTGTTTCATAAGCTACCAAACTCAAATGCAATGTATTTTTTCTCTTTAGGATGCAGAATAGAGAACTGTGATTCTTGTTTTAGTCGAGATTTTTGCACTAAATGCAAACCTGGCTTTTATCTCTACCGAGGCCGTTGCTTTGGAGAATGTCCCGATGGTTTTGTCCATTTAGATGAAGCTATGGAATGTGTGGGTGAGTACTTACTTAGACATGATTTGTGTTATATTGTCCTTCTTGGATTACATTATGCCAAAACATAAATGCAAATATAGTTTTTTTCCCCTGTGCTATCACTCTGCTGAACACTTAATTCCCACAGCACTGTCTCATTTCTCATCTTTTCTCATCTTCTCTACTATCTTCTCCTATTGGTTTCTTATGATTTATCAGTTGTTGTTTGTAACTTATGATTAATGATTGTAACTATGATTTATTATTTACGTTTCATTCAGATAAACTTCTGTACCGGGCTATTTTTTTTTCCTTTTTTTTTATCACCTCAAAGAGAATTCTTAAACAATATATCTTTTCCCAAGCTACTTTTCTCACAATGCCTTTCTCCCCTACCCTTCTGCATTTCAGCTGTTGCATGAAACTGACCATATCTTAGTCAGTTTTATACTGAAGGCTGCTTCTTCTTGTAAATGCAGGCATTGGTTGTGAAGTTACTTTTTCATCTCTGTTGTTACATTCACAATTGTGAATTGTTGCTGTCTAAGGCCGTCATTAAACAAAGACTACCTGTATCTGCAAAATATCAATGTTTGCTTTGACCACAGCTGATATCACCCATTTTCTATAAATCTGTTTACTATAAAAATAGTATTCACATGAGAAGAAGTCTCAGAACAGCCTTCTCAACTGCCAGCAGGGCATCTTCACTTACATATTAGAATGTCATGGCATGGCATGGCGTGGCATGGCATAGAATAGAATTCTTTATTGGTCAAGTGTGATTGGACACAAGGAATTTGTCTTAGGTGCATAAACTCTCTACTAGTTTCCTTTCCCTCTGCAAATGTAATCACATATAATCCTAGAGTATGTTACATGTTGTGTGTTTGCTGCATAGACAAAGTACATCAGCCATTGATATAATGGTAGATCATCTTCAAGCAGTGGTGGCAAGGATATCAGAATTACAATTTTTTTATTTTGCATTATTTGAATTATTGACAAACATGTTGGTATGTGTAACTGTCTGTGTATTTAAGTAAAATAATTATCTTTTAATAGTTTGATGTAGGTTTACAAGTTTATCCATTACATCACTGCACTAAAATGTTGGCTATTGCTCAGTGCATAAGCTAAATGGAGATGGCTAATGTGCTATAATAAAGTTAAAGCAGCGCAATTCATCTGACTGTTAATAAATCTAGAATAATGGGTCCCAGGGAAATATCTGTTTCTGAAACCTGATGGCATTTCTCCAAATAAATCATAAGGATGCTCTGAAGACTTTTGGACACTCCTGTTTTTGGTTACTGTGCAATTTAAGAAATATTTTGGTCCAACAAGTCAGTTTTGACTCCTGGCAACAATTCCCTGCAGTTTTCTTGGCAGTATTTTTCATAAATGGCTTGCCATTCCTGTCTTCTTGAGGCTGGGAGAAGTGACTGGCCAAGGTCACACAGCTGATGTTGTCACTAAGGTGAAGCTAGGATTTATCACCTCCTGGTTTATATCCCAGAGCTTTTTACCACCACAACAAATTGGCTCACAATTTAAGATACTATGGGTTACTATAAAGTAATCTTCTTTGTTATTAAGCTATTATTTGTGGTAACAGGAAACTATATTAAATCTTTATTAGGAAGTCATCTAGAGGTGGCTAGAAAAGTATTTTGTATATGTTAATTCATTCCATGTAAATGTTCACTATACTAACTGAATCCTGTCTAGATTTTATTGGTGATAATGGTTATTAAGTGCCTTTTTTGGCTGCAAGTTTTTGAGAAAATTGGAAAATTACATAACAGACTTTAGTACCTAACATTAGTTAGCAAGCACGGCTGAAATTTAATGTTTGCCCAAAGTATATGAAGATCTTTAGTGTTCAATTTTATTTTTATTTTTCTAAGATTTGAAATAGAAGAATTGTGGCATATAAATTATCTTTGCATCAACTATATCCTTCTTTGAATTTCCACAAGTTGCACCTAACTTTTCCCAAGGCTTTCAAGTAAAGACTTGGAAATCAATTAATCAGAATAGCTCAGTACAATTAATTCTAGAATTTTTCCACCCTAGTGCTTTAAAATATTCACATGAAGTATGACTGATGATAAGATGAGTTGTTTCAGTTAATCTGAATAATTTGAATTATATTTTGGCTGTATTTCCTGTTTTCTTTAAGCAATCAATTTTAAGCCTATCCAGATATTAATTAATTAAACATAAGCTTTCAAATTCTCGTGGATTCTTCATTAGCTAGGGCAGGGGTGTCAAACTCGCATCATCACAGCGGCGTCACATGATGTATCACAACCTTTCCCCCCTTTGCTAAAACAGCCATGGGCGTGGCCAGTGTGTGACAAATCTGGCCTGCGGGCCGCAAGTTTCACAGCCCTGAGCTAGGGAGTAAACCTAATTAAAAGTTTCCGTGTTTTAATTTCCCCCCCCAGGGTCAGGGGTGGGTTGCTGGGGGTTTGCAGGAGTTCAGGAGAGCCTCTAGCTAAGATTCTGTGCAGCTTGGAGAACCCCCAAATCCCATGCCTGGCTGGCCCTGCCCACCCCTCCCCTCACAGGAGTCCCCATGGGGCCCATTTTGGATGCAGGGAAGTGCAGGGCATGCGTGGAGGCTTGGGGAGGGCAAAAAACAGGCCTCCTGGAAGTTTGGGAAGGCCAGAAATGGGCCCGTTTCCGGCTTCCAGAGAGCCTCCAGAGTCGGGGGAGACTGTGTTTGCCTTCCCGGAAGCTCGAGGAAAGCCTCCAGAGCCTGGGGAGGGCAAAAATGCTCCCCCCGGCTGTGGTGCAGGAGACTGACTGGCCACCCCCACCTTGGTCACGCCCACCCGCCAACCTGGCAGAGAACTCTTTGCTAACATTTTTGAAGCCCACCTCTGCCCAGGGTCCTATATTCTGGAGGGTGCAAATGTTAGAAGACAAGAATGCTAACTGGTGTGTGTGTGTGTGTGTGTTGTTTTTTCCAGAAGGTTGTCAAGTGGGCCCCTGGAGTGAGTGGGCAGTTTGCAGCACAAATAACAAGACCTGTGGATTTAAGTGGGGCTTGGAAACGAGAACGAGGCAAATTGTAAAAAAGCCGGCGAAAGACACGATACCATGTCCCACCATTGCAGAGTCCAGAAGATGCAAAATGGCCTTGAGACACTGCCCAGGAGGTAAGGATCTTAAATGTTCAAACGAATATTGTAAGCACTTACTTCTGACTAAAGCTGGCCTTACTTAAGTTAGTTAGTTAGTTAACTTTATTGTCATTGCACCTCGTACAACGAAATCAAACACCATCTTCAGTGCACATCATGACCATGACCATGAAAATAAACACAAACACACATCCTTCACCCTCCACACATTCAACCGAAAACCCCCGACACCGCACCAACACTGCCCTATACAGCAGAATTCAAAAGATCTACTGCCCTGGGATAGAAGATGTTTTTCAGCCTATTTGTCCTTGTTTTTATTATCCTGTACCGTCTGCCAGATGGTAATAGTTCAAAAAACAAAAAAAGGGTGTGCAGGATGAGATGGATCTTTGAGAATGTTTTGAACTTTCTTAAGGCAGCGGGAGCTATAAAGCTCTTCCAAAGAGGAGAGAGGGCAACCAATGATCTTCTGGGCAATGACATTAACCCTTTGGACTGCTTTCCTATCTGCCACTGTGCAATTGGCAAACCATTCAGAGTATGGTTTTTTAAGTATGAGTTTTTAAAGTTTTTTTAAGTATGAGATATTGAGTGTTTTCCTTTATTTCTTTATTTTAAATCAAGCACTGAGGCTCCTTTTCTTTTAATACACATATGCTGAAACACAGACTGTATCAGAAGAGGTAGAGCAAAGGAATGGAATTTTGAAGCATCCTACATAGAATCTTGTTCTGTAGTAATGTAGGACCAGGTTTTGTTAATATAGGTAGTCCTCGACTTACAACAGTTTCATTTAGTGACCGTTCAAAGTTACAACAACACTGAAAAAAGTGACTTATGACCATTTTTCACACTTATGACCATTGCAGCATCCCCATGGTCACCTGATCAAAATACAGATGATTGGCAACTGACTCATATTTATGGCAGTTCCAATGTCCCAGGGCCATGTGTTCGACCTTCTGACAAGCCAAGTCAAAGTCAATGGGGAATCTAGATTCACTTAACAACCAGGTTACTAACTTAACAACTGTAAGGATTCACTTAACAACTTTGGCAAGAAAGGTCATAAAATGGGGGAGGGGGGACTCACTTAACAAATGTTTCACTTAGCACCATAAATTTTGGGCTCAATTGTGGTCGTAACTTGAGGACTACCTGTAAACTGCAAGTCATATTACAGCCCAAATCTATATCCGTGTGAGCAGAAGTACTATGAATTCAGTGACACTTGCTTCCAAGTTATTATGTGCAGCAACTTTCCCCAAGATGGCGCCCACCAGATGGATTTTATTATACTTCTGCATAGCTTTGTTGGTTTGGAAATGGATGATCCGCAGGCCAACCCATCTGGAGAAACAGGAAAACTTACATAGTATTTTGTAGATTTAATTGGACAGCTTTTTAATGCAATATGATTTAATAGTCAGCTGACATACTTTTGTAGCCCATTTGTGGTCAGGGATAGATTGTTCCTATATTTTGCTGCCTTCTATAATTAATTATGATTTGACTGGATGTTTTTTTCAAACTTTATAAAATTAACCACCTCTTTCGCTCTCTGCTCATTCTTGTTAATTACAGAGGAAATACTGAAGGATTAAGAGAGAGAACTATTTTGTTAAAAATGAGGGTTTTTAAAAAACTTCCTAATATTCTTAATTTTATAAACTCATAGCAACGTGCAATATAAGTATTAGTTTATGTAACCAAAGGCACTAATAAAGTGGGATGGATTAAACCAAAACCAGGAAGTAAAGAGGGAATGGGGTCAAATGTGCATTATGACATATGCTTTCTATTTCAGTTTGTTTTGTTTATATTTCGTCGGTACACTTTATGTGGTCTGCTTTAACACACTAGGACCCATTTATTTAGCTCCATGCAGGAGGAATGGTTTTTTTCTTTGATCCTGTAACTGAGCAATCAGACATACTTGAATGTGGATTAAAATGGTTTATAGTATCCCTTTTGTTTTTATGCATGGTATTATACTTGCAAATGCCTTTTTTCATTTTATTATTCTCGGGAGAATCTTGAAGAATCAAACTGGAAATCTGAAGTAGTCAACTATAAAATTTTCTAATGGCTTTATGGATTTGCTTGGATTTTCAATTTAGTATTAAGCAAACTTTAAAAAAAATCCCAGTATCTTCTTTCCTATTTTTCAACTGGTTTCTCTTTCCTCTGACATACAAACTATTTGATAGGTGGGTCCAGTCCAAGCAATCCAGGAAGGAAATAAGGGTGGTATGTCCACTGCCAATAAGAGGTTGATAAAAATAGATATAGAAGTGAAAAGACCCGAAAAAAGTAGGAAGGAGAGAATATTGACTTGGAGATTGCTTAAGAAACAGTGGTGGTATTCAAATTTTTTTACTACCAGTTCTGTGGGTGTGGTTTGGTGGGCATGGCATGGCTTGGTGGGCATGGCAGGGGAAGAATATACTGCAAAATCTCCATTGCCTCGCCATCCCACTAACCTGCTTTCCAGCTCCGTTCTCCTAGGCAGGAAACAAAAGAAGATCCAACCAATCAGCTGGGACTCGGGAGGCAGAGAATAGATAGGGAGCGGGGCCAACCAGAGGTGGTATTTACCGGTTCTCCTAACTACTCAAAATTTCCACTACCTGTTCTCCAGAACCTGCCAGAACTGGCTGAATACCACCTCTGCATATAAAGTTCAAAACTTTTATCTGAGATTCACAGATGTCATTTTGAAATATTCCAGGTCTTCCAGTATGCACCTAGTAGCCACGTTTAGCCTGATATGTTTTCTTGTGTGCAAATAAAACACAAATGGATGGTCTCAACCTGGATTTCTCTTAGTTTTAATTTTGCTTGATATGTTCATTTACATATCATTTTTTTAAAGAAAGGAGAAAACAGTTGATATGGAAATTCATTCTGATTTTGGATCTAGTTCTTCTTTTGCTTGGATTTTTCAATGAAATTTTGCCTCATAACACTTTTCGCCTGTGGTTTTCTGAAGTAATAGTTTTACTTGGATTAGTAAATATTATTAATGAACCACACAATTACTCAGGCTAAAATAACTACTGAAGCTAATAAGGACATGCCGATGAACAACAAAGTGAAATGTTGAAGTATTTCCCTTGTCTAACATACAATTTGAGTTTTCAGTGCTAACAAAATATAATGTTTTCTTTGTTCTCTATTGAATCCATATTATTTTGCAATATATTTTTATAATGTTACTTAACAACATATGACAGTTCTTTTCCCTTCTGTTGGTGGAACAAATGTTCCACCAACAGAACAACATCAAATCAATTATATGTGGTCCATTTTCTACCCAAAACAACCCACACAACATCAAATCAATTATATGTGGTTCATTTTCTACTCAGAACAATATTTCTAATCAGTGCTAGAAGACACCTAAATGAGTTAGTTTGGATTACATAATTTTCTGAGCTTGGTTGTTTTTGGATGTATTCAATTTTCAATTTCTAGAAGACACTAAGTTGAAGAACATTGCCTTAGTCACAGGCATCAGGAAAAAAATGTTATTTTTTCAACTGCTTTTTCAGTTAATTGAATTTTAAATATCTCCAGGCTTACATATTTTGGAATGGTGCCTCAAATAATAGAGGAAAACATGATGATTTGGTGATGTGTAATTAATAAAATCAAATACTTCTTGAGGGATTTTTTTGGGAAGGAAAACACTTTAATGAGATTCATAGCTTAGCTGTGTTAATTCTTCAGCTTTTACTGTTTTGAAAAATTTCAGCTCTTTTTGATTTAGAGCTAGCACAAAACCCTCTTTGCTTTTCCAATAGATGATACTTTATGGTTTGGATTGGACTACTCTGTTTTGCAAGTGTGAAATATTTGACATGCTAATAAAACAGCCGAAGAATAATCATCTGGTTTGTGGTAGCCTCTGTAGCAGTGGCCAGTTTATGCAATACTTCTGCTATCCAAGTGAATATTAATTAGTCTGTTGGCTAGAGAATATGGTGAAAGGGTGACAAACAGCAGAGAGAAGCTTGAGCTGCTTAATTTCCATTTTGTATCTTGCTTTTTCACATTAAAACATGTGATCGAACCTGGGAAAGGTGACATTGTAGAGGATACAACAGAAATACAGGTCAACATAGGTAAAGAACTGAAGAGAGAACATACTCATACTAAAGGTACTAAAAAAATTGGTAGGTGACTGGTAATATATGATCTTAAAATCACTGACTGTAATATTTGAAAATCAGAAGTATCAGAAGATTAGAGAAGAGCTAAAGTTGTTTCCATCTTCAAAAAAGGAAAAGAAAAAAGCTGAGTGAGCCAAAACCAAAACAAAACACAAAAGAACAAAACCGCAGATTGGTAAGTATCTGAAAAAATCCTGGAAAAAGAATCCTTGCAAACAGTTCGAAAGAAACAAGGTCATTGATCGAACCCAGCATAGGTTTGTTACAGGTCATGGAAGACAAATTTTACTGAACTATCTCTTTTTTTATATAGTTAGTAGACCAAAGGAACACTGTAGACGTGCTTTACTTAGATTTCAAGGTGTTTGATAAAGTTTGACTATAGCCTCCTCTTCGATAAATTGGAACAATTTTATCAAATCTGATGGTCACAGCTGATGAATCCAGCACATGTTCTTAATAATTCTGTGTCCACATGGCAGGAGAAATCCTGTGTCTTGGATCTAGTGTTCTTCAACTTCTTCAACAATGACTTAACTGGAGGTTTAGAATAGATGCTCATCAGGTTTGCACATAACCCAAAGCTGAGCAGAGCACCTAAGCACCTAAGAAGACTATTAGTAGGTTTGAATATTGGACCTTATCCAATAAAGTATAATTCAGTTGAGAAATGTAGACATCTATGTTTGGATAGCAAGAATCATATATGCAGAAACAAGATAGGTGATACCTGGTTTGGCTGTAGTATTTGTGAGAATGATTTAGGATTAAAACATGAACATATTGGCTGCCTCATTCCAGTGGACAGTTACTAGACTGGAGTGCCTAGACCAGGGG